AATGCATCTCAGCTTTTGTAATGGAGAAAAATTCCTGCAAGTAGTTCAGTTTGTTAGTTTTACTTTGGGAAAAAAAAATCATTAAGTTTTGGTTCTTACTCCTTTAATGGCTGATTGGACAATAGTATCTGTATATTTGAACTAATTTTTCCTATTATATCTATCACAATTCATATGTTTTTCATAAATAAAAGATAAACTGGTTCACTTGACCGATAGTATGCATTAATGAGATGGGCTGTGAAATGGTCAGTATTTCAGTGTGTGGATTAGGAACCAATTTAAATTAAACCCTGTTATAGTTTGTTCCATTAATTCAAAGTAGTAAGTGCATGTTTTACCGGACTATCACACGGTTTATATATGATGGGTCTGGTCTTGCAGTCCTAACGTAGGCAAAACTCGCATGGACCTGTGTGAGAGCTTTCCTCCTGAAAGCTGTGGGGTTTGCCCTTCCATTCATCTAGAACTAGTTATGGAAACGTATGCTACAAGCTGCTCTAAGTCCTACTATGTCAAAAGTTAAGTCCCCTATAGTCCTGGTTACGCCCCACATCATGTAAGAGACTCATGTACGCATTCTTTTTAAGTTTCACAAACCATAAGAGATGTAAAGTTCTGGCTATATGATAATCTCTATAGAGAAGATGCAGATTATTGTAAAGGTTTCTCTTTTATTGGCATGAGTATGGGATGACTGCATTATGCACAAATGGTAAACCTTATTCCCTGATTAAGAAATAAAAACCTTTCTGATGGTTTTCATGACTGTCCATGCAGTATACATTTACATATTTTATTTTACAACAAATGAAGTTCTAGCAGAAATTCTGTAGGCAGGTAGAAAATGCGGTAGCATAGTTATTAATTCCAAAGCAAAGAAGGTAAATTCCAGTCATGCCTTTCAGACAGAAATCCAGCTCCGGGTGGGTGACGTTGTTGTATCTTCAAGAAAAATTTTGAAGCCTTAAAATTCAGTTGGGTACAGTGTCTATTCCCTGGGAGCAACCTGGAATTCAGCAGATGAATTTAGAGCAGCACATGCCCTGTCATTCTGGAGGCAAGGGAGAGCTATAGGACGTGCGCTTGCGTTTTCCCAATTGCTCCGTGCAGATCTAGGTGCTCCCACTTAAATATTCGGACCTTGTGCTGTTGATGTCAGTAGGAGCAGGGTTAGCTCCATGCTGAGTCATTTTGAAAAATGCTTGTCCCAGTTGTACCTTCCAGCTCTCCAGGTGGGAACTGGTGGTGACTGATGCAGTGCTGCCTTCCTGCCTCGGCAAACAGCCCCTATCGGTCCCACAGGAACGAGCCTGTTGACTTACCTTAGCTGCTAACTCTCAGCTGTATGGGTACTGTCCCAAATTACAACCACTGATGTATTTCACTGCTAATTACCTTAATAGACGTGCTCAGTTAACGTACCTCCATAAATAGGTTGTTATCAGGGCGACGGCCAGTTTCGCGATTGCTGCTAGAAACATTTAGAATGGGGAAATGAGTAAATGCAGCTTTCCCCAGGTTTTCAGCTGGCTCTCGACTTCCCCTTTTGAAAATGCAGAAGGATGGTCCATCCCTTCTTCGCTCGCAGCTGTCTTTAGGAGGCACTTTTTGCACAGCTGCCTGCCCAGCAAGGCTCATCATATTGCTGATGGAGTCGTCGGTGCTGGCTCAAAATGACGGTGAGGCATCGTCACGGAAGAACTGTGAAAATAAGTAATTCCAGGCTACTGCCTTGTCACGTATATAACAGCAGAGTGTGGACATCCTGCAACTTCGCGTGCAGGAGCTGAAAAAACAATGAAGTGAAAACTGATGCAGTGGTTTTACTGGAAGGACTGGAGTCCTTATGTGACGCTGGGAGTCAGGGTGGTGGTGCGCGTTGTGTCCGTCCCGCTGCTGGGCTTGCAGTAATGCTGACGGGTGCGTCAGCGTTCAACACTGAAGTCTCTTTTTGGTCTCAGACATTTTGAGTTATATCCAGTAGGGAGAAATTAGACTGACAAAATAATTGCACCAATATTTATACCTTCCAAATATCAATTTTATATTAAAAAATGATCTATCTATCTCTATAGTCCTAACAGGTAGCAGACTTTTAAGATGTTGACCGTGTATGAAAATCTCACTCATTTCCAAACTAGTAATACATGAGGTGTGTCACTCTTCGGGTATTGAGTGATAATGCCCTAAAAAGCCTTGGCTGTACTAATAAACAAGTAAATAAATAAAATTGCAACAACTTACCAGAGCTCTGAATATTTTTTGTTCCAGCAGAGCAGCTTTGTAGTGATGAAGTAGCAGACAAGTATTTATTCCCCATGTTTTACTGAACTTTGAAAGCCCGTCCTGTGCCTTGGGCTGGCTCCTTTCTCTTAAATAGGAGTTTTAGACACCATCCAGGGTGTCCGTGGTGGAGCCTGGTGTTCCTCCGGTACAGCACCCCGGCTTTTCTCACAGCGGTAACCACTAGATGTCAGATGAGGTCCAGCACCTCCGTCGTGCAGCTGCTGGCCAGCGTTTTTCCCTTGGGATTTGGAGTTTTCCATGTACAAAACTTGAACCCTTTCTCCTTCCTTTCTTTTCATATCTGTCCTATCAGTGACAGACTGCTGAGGAAGAGGGCAGACTTTCATTTTTGTGGTTTTGCAACAGCTATTAGAGCACGTAGTACTGTTCACACACAGCAATTTGCCATCAGTGACATAAGCAAGGCCTCCCTTGGCTCTGGATTGAATTAAGCTTAAGTTTAAGCTACCAAAACATTAAAAATCACATTTTGAACAAAACTAGGGTGCCATTCCTTTCTTCAGCTTTTAATTTCTAGGAGATTTTGGTACTAGTTTTGGGTGGAGCACTACAGAAAAGACGTCGTCCATTCGCCTCAGAAACTCAAAACCTCCAGCGCTTCGTCTTCAGTAACCTTGATTGAAATCTGTCACATTAAGTCCCATATCTGTGTTCTCACTCCAAAGCAGTGGTGCCTTGCTGCAAAGCACCGCTACCAACCCTCCGTCTTGAGGCCAGTGGAAGTTCTCCATCTCTCTCAAAAATCAGGTCCTGCATTCAGATGCCAGCCTTGTTTCCCAAAAGATGAATTGGCTCACGAACTCCATAAACTCACCTTGTTTATCGGATGGGTCATTACTCCTCCAAGAATTTTCTTCTAAAATTATGCTTCTTGACACCTAGTAACTATGAGACAGTTGGTGGCAACACTAAGCAGTGTATCACACCGAGTTGCGTCTCACTGTGAACTAACCCATCGCAGCGGTGAGATCTACAAGCTCCATTTCATTTCTCACATCACAAGATGAGGAATGAGGAAAGAGGAAGAAACGTGAATTAAGTGGTTTCCAGTAACGCACTGTGTAAAGCAGTTTTAAATTTAGTACAAACAATTGTAATTATGAAATCAGCTTTCATGACAAAGTTTGTGGTGGTTCTGCGTGAGAAGCAGCGATCTGGCTATTAACCGAGCAGAATCCAAACAGCCCCGGAGGTATCTGTTTTAATATTACTGGTTGTATAATTTTGCCTTGCATACAGGGAAGTCCCCATGTTAAAAAAGTAAGAAACCAAATTTAAATGACCATGTTTTTGATCTCGACACCTGCAAGGCACCACACTTGAGATTCAGGGGAAAGCTATGGTTAATATTTGGTGTTTTTAATGCAGTCAGAGCAAGCTTTTGTCTTTACAGCTCATAAGGGTATTAGCCCATGGAGGGGCTGTCCCTGCGCCATGGAGGGCTGTTGATGGTCAGTTGGGAGAGCCCGTGTTAGCTCTGCCGGTGGTTTGGGGCTGCTGCCTGCCAGGACCGGGGACACGGCTGTTGCCTCACTGACCAAGACGTCTCCACTCCCGGCTGAGCGTGGCGCTGGGCTTGCTCTGACGACCAGGCTCATGGTAAGGTGTTGGTGTGCCAGGGACACCAGCTGCACCCGAGCAGGGGCTCCCGGAGGGGATGCAGCGCAGGGGGTGAGGGATGGGGCTGAGGGCTCTCGGCCGGGCGGCCAGCTGGAGCTGCGCTCCTCCCGAGCATCGCATGGAGAGCAGGTCCCGGCTCTGTATGCTCAGGGGACAGCCCAGCGCTGGCACCCGTTGTAATCGAGGGTGCCCTTGCTGGGGACAAAAGAGGTGCTCCTGGGTGCACCTTTGCCTACGAGCAGCGCAGGATTGATACGCGCAGCCCTCACATTCCTTCAGGCTTTTCTGCTCAGAGCTGGGGGCAGAGGAGGAGGAGGAGGAGGATGCTGGTGTGCCATCATTTCAGAGGGGCTTTGCTGGGGACCCTCGTGCTCTCCCAGTGGGAGGCACGGGTCCATCTCCAGCCTACCCTGGGCTTTCCCCATGCCTGGGGTCCCCTGTGGCCGGTGCTCCCATGCAGCCCTGTGCCCAGGTATGGCAGTGAGCAGAGCCATGGTGCTGAAGCTGGTTCAGGGGCCTTTTGGTGGCAGATTTTGGGGAAGCTGCAGGTGACTGAAAGAAAATGGTGATGCAAGGGCAGGAGCCCTGGGAGTGCAGGTCGGTCTCTCAGCCATACAGAGGACGGTGCTGCCGTCCCTGGGCTCGGGGAGCACGTTACGTGCTTCATTCAGGTCATCCAGCTCTGCTCAAGAGGGTGAAGACTCCTCTGGTTGCCATCACCAAGGCACTTGTCTGTCCTTGACCCTCTGCAAAACAGGCGCTGCCATCACGGGGCAGCGTCAGCGCTCAGAGGGGCCACTTGGCGACCAGGGCAGCCGACCTGGCCCTGAACCTTCACTGTCCTCTGATTTCAGAGGTGCCTCAAGGGCATCCCCGAGGTCTCCCCGCTGCCCGCCTCCTCCCCAGCCCTGGAGCCGCTGGAGGGGCCGGGCTGGAGACTCCCCACGGGAAACACCGACTCAATACAAACCACAGTGGGTAAACAATTACAGGCACGATCGCGGCGGGACTTCCGCTTTCCCAGGGGCTTTAACGGGAAAGCGGAGCTGTGCGAAGGCAGAGGGGAGGAGAGGACGCCCAGGGAGGCAGGAGCAGGGGCCGGAGCGGGACGCCGCGTCTGGGAGCAGCTATGGAGGATGCCTTCATCCGGCACATCGAGCTGCTGGGCTACGAGAAAAGGTTTTTCCCCAGCCAGCACTATGTGAGTACGCAGCGACCTTCTGAAAAGCTGAGTAGCGAGGACTGGCTGGGGTAAAAAGCCTGGCCAGCAAATTTCTTTAGATAAATGTGACCGAGGGCCTAAAAGCATCCTTTTTTGGGGGAGTCATGGCTGCTGCCATGAGCTGGGGGCAGCCAGAGGCTAAAATGTCCTGAACACACAAGATTTTGGGCAACTCCTTTGCAAGCCGTTGGTTACTTCACAGGCTTGGAAAGGGCTTTTCCCTCTGATTCCCACCCATCTGCATGTTTCTGTCCTTTCTCTGTCCCTGCTGAGCTTCTCTAGCACCCAGCTCGCTTGCTGTCTGGGCAGAGCTACTCGCATTGGGGGGGCAGAAGAAAAACACCCAGTTTATCTGAAACTGAAATATCTGTGGGGCTTCCCGGGGGCTTCAGCCGCAGCGGGGTGCGGGGTCCCGCTCGCCTGCAGAGCTGCAGCGCCTCTGCTTTGCCCCTCAGGTCTACATGTTCCTGGTGAAGTGGAACGACCTCTCCGAAAAGCTCGTCTATCGCCGGTTTACCGAGATATACGAGTTCCACGTGAGTCGTGCTGGGGTGGGCACCGGCCCCTGGCCCAGCGCACCAGGGCTTGGGGTGGGGAAAAAGAGGAGGGTGAATTCCAGCTGAAATCGCCCCAAAACAAATCTGGCTCAAAACAGGCTCCTGGGTCCTTGTGCTTCAATCTCCTTCGCCCCCTAAAGTGGGGAGCCACCGGCTCTGTGCTCCCTCGGCTGGTTTCTCCTGGTGTCGAGCTGTGCAGTCCAGCCAGCACGTGCCAGCGGGCAGTGGGAAGGGGGGCAAGATGCAGGCAGGGGTGCGGGTGCCATGGGGGGGTCCCCCGGTGCCATCCTCACAGCCATGGCTGGCTCTGCTCCACAGAAGGCGCTGAAGGAGATGTTCCCCATTGAATCCGGGGACATCAACATGGAGAACCGGATCATCCCACACTTGCCAGGTGAGGGGCAGGCGTGGGGGCTGGGGCCTGGGGGCTGAAATAGAAATTGCGGCTGGTTGGGAAATTCCCCGGCGGGCCGAGCTCTGCCGGCTGCCTCCCGCGCAGGTGTTTGGTGCGATTTCTGTTCCTGCCCACTGGGCTTGAAATGAAAACACCAGAAAGGTCTGTCTGAGCAGCAGCAGTGGTTTCTCCCAACACTCACCAGCCCCACAGACCCCGTCCTTCCTCCCCGGGGACGCTTCCCGGAGCATTGGCTGTGACCCCTGGTGCAAAGGGTCTGGCTTTGGGGACCCTGAGCTGAGCTGAGCTGAGCTGAGCTCTCCTTCGGTGACACCATCACTGGGATCGGTTTTTACTGCCCTTATGGCAACACAGATATTTTGTAAGAGGAAGCAATGCAATATGTCTTCAATGACAGGGAATGAACTCTTGATCCAAAGAGCTGACTGTTTGTCCCCAAGCACGGTGCAAGTCAGCAAAATTCCCCCTTTTATTTAATTTCCTGCTTTAAAGGAGGCAGGAAGGAGCATGAGAAATAGCTGCAGGTTGCGGTCGACACCTCTCGAGGAGGAATAAACCTGCACCATGCAGCAGTGCGGGTGCCACGTCTGGGGGGTTGTCCCGGGACCCTTCCTACAAGCTGCCGCCGCCGTGCCGGGGCTGTTCGGAACACCCTTGTCCCGTTTGGGGAACTGAAAGCGCTGGGGACAAGGCAGGCATCAGACTGCTGCGGGGGGTGCAGGGGTGCCACTGGCCGCACACGTGCACCCCGATGCGGGGTTCAACACTGCTGTGGGTCGGGGCTGCCAGCAGCATTTTGGAGGCCTGGGGTCAAGAGCGGCTGCTGCAGGACGTGCGCCGTGGCCAGTGGGACAGAGGGATGTGCATGTCTGCCCCGGCCACAGACTGGTCCCCTGAGTCCCTCCTTGTGCCCCGGGCAGTTGCTGTGTTTGTGGCCCAGCAGCTGGGCTTAGTCTGAGCATGGATGTGGGAGTTATCCCATAACTGAAATGGGGTCAAACGGGGTCTTTTCTGAGCTTGCACGAGCTCTGCAAGAGTCCACGGGCTGCAGGGGATGAGTCCAGTTGCACAGCGCTCTCCTCCATGCTGCCCATGGCACCTGGGCTGGGTGCTGTGCCACGCTCGCCTCCCCAGCCGCACTGCCGAAACGAGGAACCCGTGGCTGCAGCGCTTCTGCAAAACAGCCATGGCCCTGTGGTCAGCTTCTCCCCAGATTTTTCAGCACCGTGCATGGTCCCCTGCACGGGGGGCACATGGTGCCTGCCACAGCCGGGGCCAGAGCAGCGAGGGAGGAGACTGGGCCACGCTCCTGCAGAGCTTTGCCTTATGGGCATCACGCAGCCACACAGCATCCTGGGGCCAAATCCACTCGTTTTCAGGGCAAAATTAATGATTCAGAGCAGCCTGCTTGGGAAATTTGTAAAACCAGGCACTCTGTCTGCTTTTTCCCTTCTCCCCCAGCCCCAAAGTGGTTTGACGGGCAGCGCTCAACCCAGAACAGGCAGGGCACGCTGGCTGAGTACTGCTACACGCTGGTCAACCTGCCCCACAAGATCTCCCGGTGCCTGCACGTAGTCAACTTCTTCAAGGTCCGTCCCGACGACACGAACCCCATCACAGACAGCCAGTGAGTCCTGCTGCTTTGGGGGACATCCTGCGTCCCCAACCCCGGGCGCTGGCAGCAGCCCGCAAGGAGGGCACCGCTGCCAGCGGTGAGGGGTCGTTGGCATTGAGCTGCCTTTGCTCTGACCCATCTAGGATCACGAAGCCTGAGGTCTTCCTCCTGCCAAAGGATGCCAAGAAAAACCCCACCGGTAAGAGGCCTTGGAGGGGTGCAAGCGGCTGCCTCGGTTGCAGCAAAGCCTGGCCGGGAGAGGGGCAGCCATCTCATGGCAGATGCCCTGACGGAGAGCACAGTCTCTGTGCCAGAGCTGCAGCTGGGAGGAAGCCACAGCCTTGGGGGGAATGAGTCCCTGTCCCGGGATCCAGCTGGTTTGGGACCAGAAGAGGCTGGGAGAGCACTTCGGGCTGTCCTGGGGCTGCTTTTGGCCTGCCTGAAATAGGGTATTTCTGCGCCGGGGGCTGGGAGAGGGAACGTCTCTCACTTCACTCCCGCAGACATCACGGGCCCCATTGTCCTGCAAACCTACCGAGCCATCGCTGACTACGAGAAGAGCTCCAAATCCGAGATGGCTCTAAAAGCCGGGGACATGGTGGACATCGTGGAGAAGAGCGAGAGCGGTATGTGTCCGTTCCTCCAGAGAGCCCCCAGGGGCCAGCCCCCTCCTGGCCACCATCTCAGCATGGAGACTGCCCTTGCATCTCGTGTCCAAACGCAGGATGCGAGTTAGTTACGCCAGTGCACGTGTTAAAGGGTAGGCGGTTGTATCAGGATCTCCTGATGCAGAGGAGAAGCTCCGAGCAAATGCAACCGGCAGCACTGAGCCTCTCGGTGCTTCCCACCCCCTTGGGAGATGTTTCACATTCCCATGGAGCCACATGACAGTCAGTTGTGGCTGGGGGGGGGGGGGGGCGAACCCGGGAGGGTGTGGGGCAATCCTAGAAAACCCTGCAACCTCCTCGCATGCCTCAGCCTGTGAGGTTTCCTGCCCAGGAGGAAACAGGATGAACTGGCCAAGCTCCCTGGTTGCGCCATGTAAACAGAGACCAGCCCCGGCGCCGTCCCTTCCGTCCAGGCCACGTGGATGCCTGCCCCTACCCCGGCTGGGGACAGACCGGGTGCTGGTGACCCCGCGGTGCCCCCACAACACCCTTCTGCTCTTGCCCACGGCTGCTTTTGTTGCAGGCTGGTGGTTTTGCCAGTTGAAGAATAAACGGGGCTGGGTGCCAGCTGCCTATCTGGAGCCGATGGATGGTCCCGATGAGTCTGAAGAGCAGGAGCCCAATTATGCAGGTAAAATGTTGGGGTAACCAGGGTGTGCACCAGAGCACAGCCTGCCGCTGCTCCCTGCTGGGATGGTTCATTGCAAGGCCCCCATTGGGCGGTCCACGCTGCAGCAGGACCACTGGACATAGAGAATTTGCTGTAGAAGCTGCCAGAAGGGATAAATCTCATATTCAGTGCCTTACCCTCCACATCAGGAGCTTCCTGTGACCTGCAACTCAGCATTAGATGCTTGTTTTGGCTAATCACAGATGCACACCTTCATCCAGTGGCCATCCTGAGCTAGCTGGGTGCATGCTGAGTTGCTGGGTTAGCAAAGGAGCATGGTGCAGCATCCAGAGGCGCAGGCTTTCCCTAGCACTTGGCTTCTGCGCTGTCCTTATAAGCCCTCCGCATCGCCCCACCATGACAGCGGGGCCTTATTGCAGGAAGCAGAGGGAGGATCCTGCAGAAGATCATGCCGATTGCTCTCCGGACTTCGTCTTCGTGATTTTCAAAACACTGCAACAGACACTATTAGCACAACACTTCCTTCTTCCTCATTTAATCACCCAAATTATAAACATGCTCTTCAGCAGAGATAGGTGTACTTCCACTGCTTGCATTCACCAGCTTTCTCCTGGAGAGGTGCTGGAGGGGCTGGGATGAGCCACGGGCACCAACAAGGCTGGGGGATGTCTGAATCCAAACTTGGAGACCTGAAGCACCCTGGGTCTTGCCTAAAACATAGGGTAGATGCTCTGGTGCCTCCTCTCCTCAGCAGCTGGAGAGGATCAGCCCCATCCCTGGCATGGTACCACACAACCTGCTGTCCCGATCTTGTGTGCAGGTGAGCAGTACATTGTCCAGAAAAGCTACACGGCCGTGGAGGAGGACGAGCTGACCCTCAAGGAGGGTGATACCATCGAAGTCATCCACAAGCTCCTTGACGGCTGGTGGGTCATCAGGTGAGAGATGCCACGAACAAATCAGGCAAGCGGGATTCGGGCAGAGGGAAGGGATGAACCAGCGGTTCTCCACACCGGGGCTGTGAAAGCCACAGACCGTTTGGTGCTGCTGCCCAGCACTTTCTTTTGCAGGGCTGCTTCTAGTAGCCTGTGGCTTTGCCAAACGTTAAACATTGCAGCTGGGGCTTCCTCTGCTGGGGGCTTCAGAAATATCCAAGAAGGAGACAGATGGAAAAAAAGAAGTATCTGTTATTTTGCCTCCAAGTATTCTGGCATATTTTGCTTTGCAAAACCTCAGCTTTCATCCCAGCCCTGGCCTGCCCTGCAAACTCGGGCTTTCCCAAGGGGAACCCCAGCCGCATTTGTGCTCTGGAGAGTCACAGATTGCGCATTCGCAGCAGGACATGATGTGGCTGTAAACCCTGGGGATCCTCTTGCCCCAACCTGCGCCCAGTGTGGTCCGTGAGGATCTCCTGGTGTTTGCAGGTGTGCTGGGCTGGAGGGGGAGACGGGCCGGGGACCAGGGAGTGTTTCTTGAGCACATTCCATGAGAGACGGGGTGTCTGGCAGGAGGCCCTGAGCAATGCTTCAGGAGCCTAGCGAAACCCCCAGGGGAAATAATATGAGCTGGTGAGACCCCGAAAGCTGTGAGCCGTTGCTCTGTCTGCGACCTACTTGCTTTTGGGACTCAAGCCACACTTTTGGGAGAGCCACGGGCACACAAGGTGGGGGGACAGTTGAAGCCCCCATCCCTACAAGAACAAGTCCTGTGAGGAGCGGCTGAGGGAACTGGGACTGTTTAGCCTGGAGAAGAGGAGGCTGAGGGGAGACCTCATCGCGCTCTACAACTACCTGAAAGGAGGTTGTAGCGAGGTGGGGGTTGGTCTCTTCTGCCAAGTAATTAGCAATAGGACTAGAGGGAATGGCCTCAAGTTGCACCAGGGGAGGTTTAGACTGGACATTAGGAAAAATTTCTTTACTGAAAGAGTGGTCAGGCCTTGGAACAGGCTGCCCAGGGAAGTGGTGGAGTCACCATCCCTGGGGGTATTTAAAAGGCGTGTAGACGAGGCGCTTAGGGACATGGTTTAGTGGGCATGGTGGTGTTGGGTTGACAGTTGGACTTGATGATCTTAGAGGTCTTTTCCAACCTTAATGATTCTATGATTCTATGGTTCTATGAACATGAGAAGAAATAGCCCACCCAGCACCAGCAATCCTGCTGGGGACAGGGGCGAGGAGGTGGTGGTCGCAGAGCCAAGACTGCAAGTGATGTTGCTTTGTGTTGCACTGCAGGAAGGATGAAACCACGGGTTATTACCCCTCCATGTACCTGCAGAAAGCCGGGGAAGCCAACGGCTCTGTGAAGAGCGAGCTGAGGAACCGGAGCGCTCCTCCGCGGAGGTAGGAGAAGCCCGGGGGGCGGGGGGGAGGACTAAAGCTCTTCTTCGAGGGGGGGTGAAATGAAACCAGACAGTGGTTTGTGGTGTCCCTTGCTTGCCCTGGCAATGAGGAACTGCCCAGGAGAGATGTGAGCAGGGCAAAGACCAGGAGGCAGATCCTGCAGGGTTGCAGCAAAAATAGCTCTGTGCTCCCCAACTTCCACAGGCAGCGAGGCACCCCAGCATTTCTGACGCAGGGTTGCATGATCCTTGCTCCAGCAGGTCCTCCAGCCAGGCGTATTTCTCCTTGTCCTTCTGCAAAGTTTCTTTTCTGGGCTAATCTCATTTAATTTTCAAATTGGCCTTTTTCTTATTTCCTAAGTGCATCCACTGAATCTTTGAGAAGCGAGGAGAGATTTGACTAATCAGAGCTTCCAAATGGCCTAATCTGATGGGAGGATTTGAGCTAATGGAAGGGATTTTATTTTGATTAAAAAGATAAAAAGCAATAATAAATCATTAATTCTGATGCAAAGAAAACTGCTAGGAAGGGCAGAGCTTGCCTCTATCTTTTCTTCCCTACAAGAAAACACGGCAGCCTTGCTATGAAATCTCTCAAAAATCCAGCTCTGCTGGAGCACGGATTAAGTGTGAGCTGGTGAAAAATGGCCCAAATCCACCTATTTGAGCGCAGTGATGCTTACCGATACCCTTGGGGGAGGTGAGGTGGCCTGTTTCAAGGACAGTGACTTGCCCCCCATGGTGAATGCTGTCCCTGCGGTGCTGGTGCTGGCAGCCAGGCTGAGCCCTGTTACAAAGGCAGTGACCTGCCGTTGTGGGCAAGAGTTTTGCTACAAAATGGGGTGCGTGCTCAGACCAGGGAGGGGCTGAAGGTGGACAGGCATGTTGCCTTGAGCAGAGCAGGAGGACGATGCCATGGGATGGACATCAGAAGCCACCTCGGTCATGCCCTGGTAGTGAAGACAAAGCGGTGGCCTCCGTCTGCATGCCTGGGGACGGTCCCCAACGCTGGGGGTTCCCCTGCGGCAGCATGCCGCCGCACAGCCCCAGGCTGCTCAGCCTTTCACTTCTCTCAGCAGTTTCTCTGCTGTGGGTTCAACACCGCACATCCAGGTGTGCACTGACTCATACCCCACACTCTGCTCCCCTGGCCCAGGGACTGATCCTTGGGTGGCAGGGAGCCGTGTCAAACCCCACACCAGGGATCTCAGTGTTGCAGCCAGTATAGATGCTGTATGTATAGCGTAGAGCTATAGATCACTTCCAGGGCTTTCTTGGATAAGCCTCATGCCCATCTCGTCCTTCCAGCCTTAGGCCCAAGCTACCTTGTCATCCCCATCATTACTTTCCAGACTTGTGCTCAGGCTTCACCCTTCAGTGTTTGCTTCCAAAGCATCACTCCAGCTGCCTCCTAACAGGCTGTACATCACGTCTCACCTACGGCTGCCCTCGAGGGCTGGCATTCCACCGGGCAAAACCGAAAAGCAGATATTGGGGTTTGGGTGAGGCAGAGGAGGAAGCGCAAGGGGGAAATCCTCAGAGAGAAAGTGCGTGGTGGGACTGCTGCCAGCACAGAAACGGAAAGTTTTGTTTCTAACTCATTGCAGATCCACCATCCGAAACGCAAAGAGCATCCACAAGCAGAGCCGGAAGCAGATCAGCCAGGAGACCTACAGGAGGAACAGCAAGAAGTACATCCAGAGCCGGAGGAACAGGAAGGAAAATTTCCAGAACAAGGCCAATGTCATCAGTAAGTCTCAACGGGGCCTTTGCCCTGGACAAAGTCCTGCAGGCATGGCCCGAGACCTCCAACACTGGTTGCTGGAGTAGGATAGCACATAGAAGTCACACCTTGTCTGTCCACCCTTCTCCTGTGGGGAAAGTGTGTGCAGGGAGGTGCTTCTTTTCAATGAGGTTTCTTACCTCTGGTTATAGGTCTGACAGAGAAGGAGCAGAATATGGTTCTGCTGGGAGGTCAGCCCACATTTAGGACCTGTGCTCTCCTCTGTGCACCTAACCTCACCTGTGCTGCTGTTACCATTACCATTATCATGTTCGTTAGCTGTCAGCAAAGCACCTAGAGGGAAGTGTTGCATGAAGAAGGAGGCTGCTATTGAGGTAGATGCTTTAGATCTGGTGCGGTCCCTGTGCGGGACCCATGACCATCCCAAGGGAGAGCAGCTCCTCGCACAGACCTAGAGCTGAGCTTCCACCTGAGCAGAGCTCCCAGCCAGGCACTGGTGGGCTCATCCCACCACCCTGACCTCCAGGAAGACCATCACACACGGCTGAGACAGGAGGAGAGGCAGGAGCTTTGGTGGCTGTTACATAGGAAGCTTTTGAACATGAAGGTGTTGGGTGGTGGAGAGCTCTGACCCATCCGTACATCTGCTTTACCCACAGTTGAGAAAAACAAGCAAGAGGAGAACAAGCCCAAGGCTCAACCTGCCGTTCCTCCCCGTCCCAGCAAAGCGCTCATCATGAACCGCTGCACCGAGAGCAACCGCGGAAAG